TCTGCAACACCAGCCCTTTCCTAAAAGACCTCTAGCCTCCAGGCATGCATGTTTGGAGCTGGACAGATACTGACAGTGAGCCCATGCAGGAAAAGCAAATAATAGACTTCCCACAATGAACATTTTATAAACAAATGAATACACCATCTAGTAACAAAGCACCCAAATATTACATTAACCAAGGGTGTATCTACATTGTAGAAATAAGGCAGTTTGACACCACTTTAAGGCTCCATCCTATGAAATCCTGGGATTAGTAATTTTACAAAGTTTTAGCCTTCTCTGTCAAAGAGGACTGATGCCCTACAAAACTACAATTCCCAGGATTCTGTAAGGTGCAGCCATGGCAGTTAAAGAGGTGTCAAACTCCATTCTTTCCACAGTGTAGCTGCACCTCAGGTATTATCTGATTCAACAAGTCCCAGTTCAGGTATGGAAGAAAAATATTGACTTTATTATTATGAAAATCAATAGTAAATGTGGCACACAGCCACACCCTACTTAGTCACATTTGACCAATGAATCAGTGAGACAGACACTCATATGCTCAGGGTGTCTGTAATAAAGGGAGGCATCTTACGGCTTCTAAGAAATGAGAGTGAAGAAAAAGCTCTATTATCCAGAGACATTACCAGAATAAGACTCCATTTCCCACTCCCTAGGACTATCTACAAATCCCAATTCCTTGAGCATCCAGACCAACAAGTATTTTTGCAGAATTTTCACCCTAGAGAGAGGCAGCATCCATACTGCAGATGTAATCTAGTTTGATACCACTTTAATTGCCATGGCTCAATGCTATAGAATTCTGGGAATTGTAGTTTGATGAGGCACCAGAGCTCTGCTGCACTGCGGATGCAGCCTTAGTTTTACCTGAGATATATGACCATTTGTACTTAATGCTAAGCAGAAGAAAGAGTGAAATTATAACAGCCCTACATTTTCCCCTACTGTTTTCTTAGACATTACTCGGGGGTAATAACAGTCAGTCATCAAAGTAAACATCATCTCTATATCCTCTCACCAGTGCGAATAACAAAAAAGCGCCTGTTTCTGTCCCAAAGAGCTCAGATAGGTCTCCATGCTCTGGATTCAAGTTCATGCCAAAATTCAAATGAATCTCATATTCTCTTGGTAAAGCAGCCAAGGGGTAAAATATAGAGTGTAGTTATCTTTGTTGGCCCTGAACTAGTGGCCTGTTCCAGACTTAGCAATTCCAATAAGATTTTGAAATCTGACAGGAACATTAAGAGACAATTTTCAGGAAGCAATACAGAACAAATTCAGGTGGGATCAAAGGCTGCAGCATCAAAGGACAAGGTACACACAATGAAAAAGAAACTGAACTATAATAATTTAAGGGGTCTACTTTGAAAACTTGCTTTTTAATAATGCTTCAAGAGCAGCTGGACTATATATATCATAGCTGCTTAATTTGCAATTTTAATATGAATTAAAAGAGCAAAGGTTAGGGGAAAAGACATATCCACAAGAAAGCTAAAACTAACTTCCTTAAATTCCTTGGGTTTGTGCTTAAACTCTCCCACCAAAATATATGAGAATTAAAATATTTGTTTGAATCATGCCAAAAAACTAGATCCAACATATGTTTAATCTGAAAGAAGTCCCCAGGCATTCAGTGGGACTGACTTCCAAATAAACCAACAAGCTACTATTAGGCTGCAGAACTGAAGGATGAACTTCACATACTGTGGAAACAAGCAGCAAATGCCTTTTTAATGTGTGTAGGTTTACTCATATATTGTGGAGTGAGATTTCTCCAGCAGCAAGACACTTGATCAAAACAATAAAGCAATCATTCCTATCTAAATAGTGCAGGCAAATCCTGCAATCTATCCTTTGGTTCACTGTCACTTACCCTGTTAGTGCTTTGGCTGGGGAGAGCTTGCTCTGGGACAGTGCACTGGGAAAGAGAGCATACTCCCATTTTATAGCTCAGTGGGCTCTTCCCCTCCCACAAGTTTCCCAAAGAAGGAGCACACCCAGGCCTCGTTTCTGTATCTCTGTCAAACAGAACCATATAGGGGCTTCGACACAAAACTTTCTGATTTGGGTGGCCACCAAGCCCTGGGTCTCTTCCACACTGCATTCCAATCTGGAGCACACCAGGCAGGAGGAGGCTTCAGCTGCCTGTCAGATCAACAGCATAAAAATTCAGGAGAGATGCAGAAATACTAAATGCACACAAGTGACACAGGGCTCCTGGCAAGGAACACAGCCTTCAACAACATACCCCATGCTGTGCTTGCCTCACATACAGAGGCTCTCAAGAAAGGAGGAGAGCAGGAGATGGATGCTACCTACCCCTCGAGAGACACATACTACATATGCTCAAGTATAAGTTGACCAAAATTAGGGATTGATAAGTTGAGAGTAAAACTGAGTGGCATGTAATAAAGGATCTAAAGGATGGCAAATAACTTACTGCCAAAGAACTTGACAGATCTTTGGATGAAGCAAAGGATGAAAGTTCTAAAGGATGAGGCAAAGAATTAATGTCAAAGAACTTACAAAATTCCAGCAGGCATAACTGTTTGTGCTCATCCTAAAGGCTGGATGGGTGAGAGAGTAGAAGGGGGATCAGTGCTCCCAGGACAGATTACACATTTGCCTTTCACTAGGGGATGATCCCTTTTTAAATAAGAGTTCATGTACAGTACTTACATTGACCCACGGATAAGTCAACTCTGATTTTTGTGGTCAAATTTTTAACTAAAATATCCAGACTTATGCATGAGTATATACAGTAGCTCACTGCATTCCCATCAGCTACACAGGCCCAGCCTGAAAAGTGATAACAGTAAGTAAGATGAATGTCACATTCAGCATGAGGGGGTAGCAAAAGGTAGTGTTTCAAAAGTATGCATGTGTATGTGTGCACGCGTGCCTTCAAGTTGCCTGTCAATTTATAGTGACTTCATGACTTTTCTTAGGCAGGCACAATGACTTTTCATAGTGACTTTTCTTAGGCAGGACATATTCAAAAGTGGTTTTGCCAGTTCCTTCCTCTGAAATATTGCCCACATCACCTGGTATTCATTGGCAAATCCACCTCTGAGTATTCAATGCCTAAAAAAAGCTCACATGCAATTCATAGCGCACAGCCATTTTCCCAGTGGCCTCATCCAATCTCTAGAGAGATATAGCCAGCTTATTAAGATGTTTACAGATACCACAACAACTCTCTCTTCCTGTCCCTGTCGCTTATTCTTCTTTTCACAAAAAGAAATCCTCACCTCAGGTGCTTGACTAGAGAGACAGGGGAAATCCAGATGAGTCACTTCTTCCTGTAATCATCAAGCTTTCCTGAGTCTTCTTGAAATCTATGAAGACAACAGCCATCTCAATCATGTACAGGAATGCATTTTGTCAAGAAGATGCTTTATATAGCTCATAAACCAGCCTGACACCATACGCCTTGTTAAAGTGCATGGAGATCAGGGTGAATGGAGATTTTAAAGTCCTCTGAAGAGAAAGGTTATCCAAAAAAGAAAGTAAGGAGCTTATTGCACCTCTAATAAAACTGGTTTACCTGAGCCGGCTTAAAATTTAAATCAGGCAGTATCCTGATGTTATCTGAAGGATTTAGCCACTGAAATCACCACCCAGGTCCAGCCCGGGCCCAGCCCCACTCTCAGGGCTGCTCTGGTGGCCATTTCCTTAAGATCGAAAACTCCCAGCTTTGAAAAGAGGCACGTTGAGTGCCCCTGTGAGCAGGGATGGACCCAGAATGGACCTGGGCAGCAATTTTGGCAGCTAAATCCTTCTGATAACATCAGGATACTGCCCATTGTAAATTTTAAGCCAGCCCAGGTAAACTAGTTTTATTATCACTGAGATAATCTCCTAAAAGACTTCTGAGAACTAAGAGCAATTTATCTTTTCAGGTTAAACCAGAAATATATGTACTTAGTATTAAATATCATATATGCTCAAACATGCACAAATTTGACAGATGTCTGAAAATCCTGATTTCTTTAAATTTGGAGTCATTCAGATGTCTATTTTTTAGCGTGACTATGAGAATAATCTCATTCACACATTCCAGATTGGTTATTCACACTATGGAACCTCATCTCTGGGAGTTCAGTTGCTCACACATGCCAGCACTCAAATAAACATGGAATCAATGATGCAGATGCATACAGAGCATGTTCAAGGCATGCAGAGTTTTATCCCAGGTCTATTCAGCTCTATTCACACTGATAATGATGCAAATCTTTTTAAAAAACTCAGGGGGAAACCCAGTATCAATTATCCCGGATTAAATGGGTTTTTGGCAGCCCCCTAAAAAAACTTAATTGGGTGCATTTGGGATGCATGTGAACAATGATCACATAATCTGGATTCATCTTGGATTATCTTCACCATCTGAATAACCCCTTTAAAAAACAGGCATGCCACCATCCTGCTTTAGAGCTTTGCAAAAAGTACTCTACTGAGTTTACATATCATGTTACACTTTTGGTTTTCTCCCCAGCCACATGCTTCATTAGCACAAGAACATATTTAGATGTTACACGACATCAGCATGAGGCCCCATTCACACTAGGAAATAACCCAGTGTGGAAACCAGGTTATTTCCATAGATTTGCCACAATCGAAGCTCTCCATGGCATTTTA